TTTCCTTAGCCACGCTACTCCCTTTTATTCTATTGGCTTTTGAAAGCCAATAGAAGAGACTCTCTTGAATAGAGTCTAATTCTATTGGCTTTCAAAAGCCAATAGGAATTGTCCAGGCTGTCTCTGCCCTGCTGAGCCCACCAAAAGTCCCATTCTGCAAACAGTGCTGCACCAGTTGAGTAGTCCTCGACTTATGACTGGTTGGGGGTCGTGGCATTAAAAAGGTTGAGAACCACTGTATTGGATGGAACTTGACTTGAGCTTCTTAGAGTTGCAGCAGTCCTCAAATAAACCCTAAACTGCTTGAGTTCTGGAGGAAGTTCAGACAGAGGTTGCTTCCTTTTCTTGCAAAAGTTTTAACTGTGTATAGTTTACCCAAACGAAAGGCAGGGAACTTTGAAGGTTCTCCGTTTCATTCCCTACCACTCAAGATGAAACTAGAGTCCTTCCGCCAGCCAGGAAGGAGAAAAACCAAGACTGAAGAGAAGGAAGCAGCAGATCAAAGGGTCTGTGAAATTAATCAGAGTCCTTTTTAAAGAGCCCAACGAGGCTGTCTTTGTCTCCTTGGGATGTCTGCCATCTCAACCTGTCCATGCAGATAACCCAGAACTCTTGTTGTGTTAGCCATCTTGACTATCTATTCCATTCACTGCCTTCCCTTTTATTTCTCTTAGTCTGGAAGAAACAAGAGAAAGCCAGAAACAACCAACACTTTGTTGTTCAACTGCTGAATCTGTTAAAAAAAAAAAAAAAAAAAAAAAAAACACAACCAACCCAGAAAACAAAGGAAATAAAGCAAAGTGGGGAGGGGAGACACCAGAGGTCTGGCCCTTTGTGACAGGCAGCCCAGCCACAAAATGGCTGTCAAAGGCAGGGAGTGGTGAATCAATCTCTCTCTCTCCCTCCCTCCCCCCCCCCTCTCTCTCTCTCTCACACACACACACACTTTCTCTTTCTCACTTTCTCATTTTTTCTCTCTATTTCTCTCTTTTTCTCTCTTCACAATAATGTCTTGGTTCTATAAAAAAGGGTTGCTGGGATTAGGTATGTCTACTTTAATGAAAAAAAGGACTAGGGGTGACATGATAGCAGTGTTCCAATATCTCAGGGGTTGCCACAAGAAAGAGGGAGTCAAGCTATCCTTCAAAGCGCCTGAAGGCAGGAGAAGAAGCAAGGGATGGAAACTAATCAAGGAGAGAAGCAACCTGGAACTAAGGAGAAATTTCCTGACAGTGAGGACAATTAACCAGTGGAACAACCTGCCTCCAGAAGTTGTGAATGCTCCAACAGTGTCTGAAATGGTATAGGGTTTCTTGCCTGAGCAGGGGGTTGGACTAGAAGACCTCCAAGGTCCCTTCTAATTCTGTTTTATACTCTACTCTACTCTACTCTACTCTACTCTACTCTACTCTACTCTACCCTACTCTACTCTACTTTATTCTACTCCATTCCATTCCATTCCATTCCATTCCATTCCCAGTTTCTCATATGGCCTCTTGGAAAAATTATTTATCTACCCTTGCATGTCCTTCACAGAGAGAAGAATTTCCACCATTGGACTGTCTTCTATATATTGCCCTTTTTTTAATTCTCAGGATTTTAATTTCTCAGTTCAGCCAGAATTTGAAAGCAGATAGAGCTTTGCAAACACAAAGAAATATCCTAGAAAGTCAAGGTCCTTTTTTTTCTGACTTTGAACTTATACTAAAACAAGCAGGCATCTCAAACAAGAAAAACCCAGCCAGGGAGCAATTAACAAGGCATAGTTAAGTGACCACAGCAACAAAATAAAAACAGATGTAGATCTAACTTCTCTGTATGGTTTCCTTTTGTAAAATTCAGAACAGAGTATTTAAGGCCGTTTTAACCCGCCACAAATAAGCAATTACTACTTATTTTACGTGTTTGACCTTTACTGACGTTTTAAAATGTCATATATATATATATATATATATATATATATATATATATATATATATATATATATATATATATATATATATTTTCAATAGCTCTTTGGGTGCCAAGAATGTCCTGGCTTGTATGTGATGTGTGTGTGGGGTGTGTGTGTGTGTGTGTGTGTGTGTCTCTATGATTATTATTTTTTTTAAATCGTTCTCGTCTGTAACTACGCAAGGATTATTGAAAGCCGGAGCATCAAATAATAGCTCTTTGTGTCTGAATCGCGCTGCTTTTTCCATTTCCTGAATGCCTTAATTCATTCTTCATCCTGGGGACTTCCAGATGAGTGGTGAACTTCAGTGCCCATAATCCACTATATCGGAAGAGGAAGGCCAAAGAAATAATAATAATAATAATAATAATAATAATAATAATAATAATAATAATAATAATAATAATAAATTGACAAATTCACTATTAGTCAATTGCAAAAGGCGGCCTTACTAGGAACTGCTTCCATCCTGCGACAAGATCTGTAATACCATCAAACATCCACATCTGCCTATCCCAGGTCCTGGGTAAGGACTCGATAGGTAGACAAAATGCCAAATCCAGTCTGAACATCTGGCTGACTGTGCGATGATCCATAATAATAATAAAGTTGGAAGGGACCTTGGAGGTCCAACTAAGGCAGGAAACCCTGTACCATTTCAGACAGATGGTTGTCCAGTCTCTTCTTAAAAACTTCCAGTGTTGGAGCATCCACAGCTTCTGGAGGCAAGTTGTTCCTCTGATTAATTGTTCTCACTGTCAGGAAATTTGTTTTTTAGTTCCAGGTTGCTCCTCTCCTTGATTAGTTTCCATCCGTTGCTCCTTGTGCTGCCTTAAGGCGCTTTGGAGAATAGCTTGACTCCCTCTTCTTTGGGGCAGCCCCTGAGATACTGGAACCCTGCTATCATGTCCCCCCTTGTCCTTCTTTTCAGACATACCTAATTCCAGCAACCTTATACTGTATGTTTTAGCTTAATGGTCTTTCTAAGTAGACCACAGGGAGAAGTATAAAACCGAATGTGGGTGCAATTTACATTGGCTGTTGCAAGCTCAAAATTAACAGCAATCCCCCCAGTGCGCCCCCCCCCCCCCGACTAAGGGAGGATTGTAACACACCTATCATGGCAATGAAACATGAACTTCTGGTGTAATAGAACTGGCAGCAGTTGTCTCTGGTGCAGTTATTTATATCGTTAAAACAAAGCTTTGTTTACAAGGAAGAACTGGGCAAGAGAGCCTTGCACTCAGCTGGGTTGCTGAAAACCCACGGAAGATTTGTTAGGAACCGGGCCCCAACTTTGGTTTATTCATTTGATTTTCCACAGGAATCAAATACTAAATAAATTTATACCAGTGGAATTTGAAGAAATGTATTTACGCCGCTCTCTCTTTGACAACTTGGTCGTCATCTAATGACCAATGGTTATCTCTCTACTCATCAGTCTGTTACCCTTCTGGCTATCCCTTGATTATCATGGAACGAAGGCTGAAATGGGCCTTGGAGGTCCTCTAGTCCAACCCCCTGCTCCCCCTATACCCGTTCCGGACAAATGACTGGCCAATCTTTTCTTAAAAACCTCCAGCCATGAAGCACCTACAACCCCCGGAGGCAGGCTATCCCACTGATTACTTGTTTTCACTGTCAGGAAACGCTATGATTCATTCATTCTGAACCTCTTCCCCTTTTCACATTCAGTTGAATCATGAAGGTTAATTACCATCTTTCTGAATGTGCGTGCAATGCAGTTTCGTATTTGCTGTAAATGCTGGTTTTATTAGACCAGGGAATTTTAGACCCTGAAAGAAGAAGTCTCTACATTAATCTTCTAGATGATTTGGCAAATATCTCTATCTCTATCTCTATATCTTCATCTATATCTATCTATCTATGTCTATGTCTCTACCTATATCTATATTTATTTATTTATTTATTTATTTATTTATTTCTAAAATTTATATGCCACCCAATCCCAAGGGACTCAGAATGGCGTACAAAATTAAAACAATAACCTGACAATAAAACAATAAAATAAATACATTCATACAGCGTTTCCGATCATATATATATCATCCATCCATCCATCCATCCATCCATCCATCCATCCATCCATCCATCCATCCATCCCTATCTATCTATCTATCTATCTATCTATCTATCTATCTATCTATCTATCTATCTACAGTATCTATCTATCTATCTATCTATCTATCTATCTATCTATCTATCTATCTATCTACTTATCTACCTATCTACCTACCTACCTATCTACCTGCCTACCTACCTACCTATCTATCTACCTACCTACCTCTATCTATCTATCTATCTATCTATCTATCTATCTATCTATCTATCTATCTATCTACCTACCTACCTACCTACATCTATCTATCTATCTATCTATCTATCTATCTATCTATCTACCTACCTACCTACCTACCTACCCACCCACCTACCTACCTACCTCTATCTATCTATCTATCTATCTATCTATCTATCTATCTATCTATCTATCTATCTATCTATCTACCTACCTACCTACCTACCTACCTACCTCTATCTATCTATCTATCTATCTATCTATCTATCTATCTATCTATCTATCTACCTACCTACCTACCTACCTACCCACCCACCTACCTACCTCTATCTATCTATCTATCTATCTATCTATCTATCTATCTATCTATCTATCTATCTATCTATCTATCTACCTACCTACCTACCTACCCACCCACCTACCTACCTCTATCTATCTATCTATCTATCTATCTATCTATCTATCTATCTATCTATCTATCTATCTATCTATCATCTATCTCTACGTATCTACGTATCTATATCTGTAGCATCCTGAAAAAAATCATGCTAGGGCTTATATTAAGAGCATCCTGAAAAAAAAAAAACCATGCCAGGGCTTATCATAACCTTATAATTGTTCCTGTCTTAATTTCAAGTATGGCTTTGGTTTGAATGCAGGATGAATGAGAAGGGCTCCCTCAGGGGTGAAAAGAGAGTCATCAGATTTTTTTCTGTTTTTCCTTCCCAGGCCTTGAACAGCAGTCTGTATAAGAGCGGCTCTCCTTACGGCTCTCTTAATAACATCGTGGATGGCTTAAATTCCCTGACGGAACATTTTTCGGACATTTCCCTTTCCTCAGATGCCCGCAAGCCGAGCAAGAGACCCCCACCCAACTATCTCTGCCATCTTTGCTTTAACAAGGGACACTACATCAAAGACTGCCCACAGGTAAGGACCTGCCATCTTGGAGGCCTACGTCCTGCAAAGGAGAGGGCGAACACGTAGTCTCCGTCTTAACGACCACAGTGGAACCCCCAGAATTTTCAGTTGCTATGCGAGACAGTTGCTAAGTGAGTTTGCCCCCCCCCTCATTTGCCGCCGTACAGATAGGGCCGCAAATGGAGATGCCCGATTTCTGTGGGAAAGCGAAACATTCGTTAAGTGAATTTTGCCCCCATTGGACGGCTTGCCGTTAAGTGAATCCCTTAGCTTGTTAAATTAGTCAGTTGGAAAAGTTGCTTTAGGAATATCAAAATCCTGTTTATACTTGTATTCCATGAATAACTTTATTGGAACATAGAATAATAGAGTTGGGAGGGACCACGGAGGTCTACTAGTCCAGCCCCCTGCTCAAGCAGGAGACCCTATATCATTTCAGACAAATGGCTGTCCAGACTTTTTTTGAAAGCCTCCAGTGATGGAACGGCCACAATTTCTGGAGGCAGGTTATTCCACTGGTTAATTGCTCTCACCATTAGGAAATTTCTCCTTTGACCTTGGTTGCTTCTCTCCTTGGTTAGTTTCCATCCATTGTTTCATGTCTTGGCTTTTGGTGCTTTGGAAAATAATTTGCCCCCTTCCTTTTTGTAGGAGCCCCTCAAATATTGGAACACTGCCATCATGTCATCCCCCCCCCCCAGTCCTCCTTTTCGTTAGGCTACACATACCCAGTTCCTGTAACCGTTCTTCGTATGTTTTAGACTCCAGCACTTTGATCCTCTTTGTTGCTCTTCTCTGCACTCTTTCCAGAGTCTCAACATCTTTTTTGCATTGTGGTGACCAGAACTAGATGCCGTATTCCAAGTGTGGCCTTACGAAGGCCTTGTAAAGTGGTGCTAACACTTCACGTGATCTTGATTCTATCCCTCTGTTAATGCGGCCTGGCATTGCATTGGCTTTTTTGGCTACTGCCGCACACTGTTGGCCCATATTTATGGGATTGTCCACTAGGACTCCAAGATCCCTCTTGCAGTTACTGGCATTAAGTCAAGTTTCACCTAGTCCAGGGGTAGGCAACCTTGGCTCTTTTATGACTCATGGACTTCAACTCCAGCTATGCTGGCTCAGGAATTCTGGGAGTTGAAGTCCACGAGTCATAAAAGAGCCAAGGTTGCCTACCCATGACCTAGTCTATACCTATACAGTTGGGTTTTTTTTTCTTCCTTATATAAGGGTAGAACTTTACTTTGATCTACATTGAGTTTCATTTTCTTAGACAGGGATCCAGGTTTTGGCTTGGAATGAGGTTCTAAAGATCCTGAAGATTGGGAGAATGCATAACAGTCAACTTGAACCATCTTATACGTGTTGGAATTAGTTAGATTTCTTTTTTACCAGGTTTAAAAATACTCCTTCAGCTATGTACGTACAGGCAAGACCTAATCTCAAACAATAGAAAATTGGAACCAGTGCCCAGGAGAGATGAGGAAGCTGACCAGATACAAAGCAAGTAAGAAGAGCAGAAGAAGAAAACAGCAGATGGTATAAAACAGGGGTCTTCAAACTTGGCCCTTTTATGACTTGTAGACTTCAACTCCCAGAATTCATCAGCCAGGCACATGTGCCTGGCTGAGGAATTCTGGGAGTTGAAGTCCACAAGTCATAAAAGGGCCAAGTTTGAAGACCCCTGATATAAAATAACCTGAGCTTGCTGTCGTTAGCTAAGATTGCACTAATTTGGGGGCTCTGTTGAATTAGCAATTAGCCTTGTCAGCTTTTTTTTCCCCTAGTGCAAAGTCAGTCAGTGCAGACCAGATGCAAAAGAGTGATGGATGCACAAAGTGGAGTCTACTAAGCATTGAGGCATAGGCACCTCTGTGTGCCAACTTCAGACAGGATTTTTAACAGGCAATGCCACCCTTCGTTCCACTAAAAAAAATTGTGGACTTTCAGGAAGTGTGAGCAGATGTTGGTCTTCTCGGTGTTTTGATAAGTGTTGGATTGTTTCCTCCAGAATAACAAACAGGCATGGATAGGAGCCAGTTCATCGCCTGGAAAAAGCCCTTATGTGCATCTTTACAAGTTCACCTCCCATTAATGAGGGCTTTAGACTATACTGATTCCTTGGGTCAGGGACCTATTGAATATTTAGTATGCGTGTGGGAGAGAAAAGAGGGAATGAGGGAGGATCACACAGCCTGTTTGATTTCCTCTCATCTTTTTTTCTTCTCAAATTTGGATAAGGTCTTTTGAAAACAAAACAAAACCAAACCTTGCATAACAAAGGTTAAGTTCTTTAGCACAGGGGCTTTTGCTTAGTGCCTCCCACTGCTCTCCTTCTTCTCAACCCAGGTAGATTCAAATCAAGATATTAGCGTGTGGTTGACACAGGTCAACCAGCTGAAAAGCAAATGTTCTTGCCAGTATTTTTCTTTTCTTTTCTTGAGCTTCTGTCAAAGTCTGCTTCCTCGGTTTTCGCCTTCTAGCTTTCTGATCCTCTTTTATCCCCAGGAGAGAAAGAATGGGAGAGGGGGAAGGGAGGGAGGAAGGGAGGGAGGGAGGAAAGAAAGAAAGAAAGAAAGAAAGAAAGAAAGAAAGAAAGAAAGAAAGAAAGAAAGAAAGAAAGAAAGAAAGAGGGAGGGAGGGAGGGAGGGAGGGAGGAAGAAGGAGAGGGAGAGAGAGAGAAAGAGAAAGAAAGAAAGAAAGAAAGAAAGAAAGAAAGAAAGAAAGAAAGAAAGAAAGGAGGGAGGAAAGAAGGAAGGAAGGAAAGGAAAGAAGGAAGGAAGGAGAGAGATGGAGAAAGAAAGGAAGGAAGGAAGGGAGGGAGGAAGGAAGGAAGGAAGGAAAGAAGGAAAGAAAGAAAGAAAGAAAGAAAGAAAGAAAAAGAAAGAAAGAGGAAGGGAGGGAGGAAGAAGGAGAGGGAGAGACAGAAAAAGAAAGAGAAAGAGAAAGAAAGAAAGAAAGAAAGAAAGAAAGAAAGAAAGAAAGAAAGAAGAGAGGGAGGGAGGAAGGAAGGAAGGAAAGAAAGAAGGAAAGAAGGAAAGAAGGAGAGAGAAAGAAAGAGAAAGAAAGGAAGGGAGGGAGGGAGGAAGGGAGGAAAGAAGGAAAGAAGGAGAGAGAGAGAGAAAGAAAGAGAAAGAAAGGAAGGGAGGGAGGGAGGAAGGGAGGAAAGAAGGAAAGAAGGAGAGAGAGAGAGAAAGAAAGAGAAAGAAAGAGAAAGAAAGGAAGGGAGGGAGGAAGGAAGGAAAGAAGGAAGGAAGGAAGGAAGGAAGGAGAGAGAGAGAGAGAGAGAGAGAGAGAGAGAGAGAGAGAGAGAGAGAGAGAGAGAGAGAGAATGAATTTATTTGGCAGAACAGGAAAAGGTCTCGAGAGGGGAGGGGACCGAAATTTTGGTTCTCACTGTGCTCAAAACACACCTGGCATCTCCTGGGAAATGGCCAGATTCCCCCATCTGATGACGAAGATGAATGCGGACACAAAGCTGGGGGGAAACCATTTGCCAAGACTAGGCCTGGTTTACAACCATAAAAGAAATAATCACTTTTTATTTTTATTTTTTTGCTAAATTATCGCAGGGCAAAATTATCACAGGGCTTTCCTTAAGCCAGCAATTCAGGGAATGTTGCCCCCTCTGGTGACTTTTCTTGCCCCAGTTCTTAAGTTGTTGAGCTACTAATACGGTTGTTAAATGAATTTAGCTTCCCCATTGATTTGGCTGGTCCGAAGCTCATAAAAACGGGATACGTGAGCCTGGGACACTGCAACCGTCCTAAGTACAAGCAAGTTTCTCAAGCCTCTGAATTTGGATCACATAGGGAAGCTTGCGACGGTTGTAAGACTGAAAAATGCCCTTAAGCCACTTGTCACAGTCGAGCAGGTTGCTAAACCAACAATTGTTAAGTTGAGAAATATCTTTATGTACTGGGGGTGAAAAAAAAAAACACAACAGAATAAGAATTGCAGGCCCGTTAGCATTCCTTGTAAAGTCCACTGAGAAAGTTTTTTTTTTTTTCCCCCTCTCCCCTGAAATACATTTCTAAACGCTCAACTGCATCATTCCTACTTTGGCACTCATAAGCTGCTAATGGGAACCAGATGTGAGATCAACCCCCCCCCCTTTCTCTCCAAATAAAAACAGCCTTCTTTTTTTTGGTGCATCAGGTTTCTTGGAGGAGAAGATTCCTAGAACAGCTGAAACTTTAGAATCCAAGCAGTAAAATAACACTGGGAAAGTTTTCGAAACAAAGCGGGGTGGGGTGGGGGGTTGGGGGGGTGAATGGAAATGCGGATAGCAAATCAAGGCTAGCAAATTTGGCCATGTGTTTCCCCAAGAGAGGAAGGAAGTCAGGAGTTTTGCAATTCTTGTCCAGCTTCCAGTCCACAAATTTAATTGTTGCTGTTGTTGTTTAAGATTCCTAGGGATAGGAGAACATGTATAAGTTTATGCAACTATTAAAATCACGCGCAGACAAAAAAATTAGACAACAGGCAATGCTGGGAGTGGAGTAGCTTGTCTTTCCCGAGTTAGGGCTGTCTAACTAACACAGCCATTTCTTCGGAGAGTGTCCTATAACAGAGGTCCCCAACCCCCGGTCTGTGGACCGGTACTGGGCCACAGCATGCCAGCAACTGGTCTGCACAAACAAGCAAAGCCTCATCCGTGGGATGCAGGCAGCACACAAAACTACGCACTCTCTGGTCTGTGGAAAACCCTTTCTCCACGGAACTTGTCCCTGATGTCCAAAAGGTTGGGGACCTCTGTCATATGAGATAATTGGTACCATTAATTGGTTTCAGGATGCGTAATGAGTATCAAAAAATGATGATTCCCAAACAATGTTTTCCCGGAAGGAATCAATCAATCAATCAATCAGAATAGAAGCTGGAAGGGACTTCAGAGATCTTCTAGTCCTCCAAGCTCCCTTCCAGCTCCTATTCTATTCTATTCTATTCTATTCTATTCTGTTCTCTTCTGTTCTGTTCTAGTTTAGTCTAGTCTAGTCTAATCT